TTTTTTTCTTGTTTTTTGTTTTTCTTTTTCTGTCTCCCCTCCTCCCTTTCTCTCCTTCTCTTCTCCTTTCCTTGAGATTATAAACTGCATCCAGGGCTGAGAATCACTGGTGGGAGGAGGGCAAATAATGACAAAGTAAGTTAAGGAGAAAGGATTAGGAACTAACGAAATTTAACAGAAAAGCCTCTGTGGTATGCACAAGGGGTCTCTGCTCCTCGGTACTGTCTGGAGTTATTTATCTATTCATTAATTTCCTTTTACTGACTCAATTTTTGCTTCTATCACTTACAGCCTCAGCTTGCTCATTTGTAAAATGAAGATAGCAATACTTACTACTCAGAGTTGTCATAAGGGTTTAAGTAAGTTTAAATAATGTATATTAAGTGCTTAGCACTTAATAAATGCTTAATATTGATTGGTTTGTTGCTATTATAATAAAAATAAAAGCAATGAGAATATTATAATAGTGAAAGACAATTAGTGAGCATCTATTCCTATTTCAGGTGTTGGTTAGGTGCTAGGAATATTGTGATAAATTTTAGCGATATGGTCTTTCCCTCAAATAGCTCACAGCATCCCAGGTGAGAAAGACCTAGAAACAAGTGTAAGAAAGTGTTCTAAATGTCAAAATAGAGAGGAGAGCATGGTATGGCTCATGGAATCCACGCCTAGCTTTGCTTTTCATTTTGGCCTTGTCCTCATTCTGCATGTGTCCAGATGTACTTCAGTATTATTGAATTTTGCTAGCAAATTATCAAGGTCTCAGACATCAAAATTATCAAAGTCTCATTAGGAAAGGGGATTGGTGCCTGTCTTTCATTGGATTTTAAGGTGGGCGTTAGTTGAGAAATAAGCACAAAGTACCATTTCTTGACTTCCTTTTCCTCCTCCAACCTAGTCAGTCAACCCATACTGAGGTTTTTTCCTGGACAAATTAGCTTAGCTTCTAATATAGGTTAGATATTTAGCTCTTTAACATAATTACTGTTTAAAAACACTAAAAGCAAATACTTTGGCAATGAGAATTCTTTTTTGTACACACAAGATCCGACAAAATGTATCCAACTTAAATGGTTGTATTAAAGAAATTTTAAAAGAATTATATTGAGACCCAGCAAGATGGAACACTGACATGGTACCTTGATGCATAAATCTAGAGGCAAAGAGTATGGATTAAGTAAAGAGAAACAAGACATAGTTACTGTGACAGCAATCTGGGATGATATTTTATAACCACATGTTAATTATTAACAGGATTATTAATGCTACTTTGTGTCCTCAGAATCATGGCTAATAGTCGGTTCATCTGTCTTTTCATATGATAGCTTCAAATCAAGTTCTCTCATAATATTTTGAGGAGTTTCAAAACTAATATATACAAATAGATGCTGGGCTATTTTTTTAGATGTCTTTCAGATTTAATTAAATGTTCCATTTTTACTTTTGTCTAAAATGACCATAATGTTGTGCATTGAAGTAATGGGAACCTGCCCTGTGTTTACCAGATTTGAGGGTTGATAAATCTGTAAAAAGTTGAATTTATTTTTTTCTTATTACCAAAGCAAAATGAATATAGATAAGCTTAACACCTTGTCATATATTCTTCCAGACCATTTTATATGCTTAAACATACATGTAATTTTAATGTAACTATAGTATACATACTTTTATAATTTTTTCTCACTTATAAGATAACCCATATATCTGTCACTGATAAGATAACATGTAAAATACAATTATTTATTTAATGGAGCAAATAAAGGAAACAAGTGTCTAAATTTTTTGCTCTTTGCAATTATATTCTGTGTTGTGAGGAACATTCTTGTAGCTAAATCATGCTGTCTACTCTTAATTATTTCCTTTGTATACATTTTTAATTATTGGGCAAATTTCTAGAAATGTAATTGCTACATGTTTGTAAGACTTATGCATTGATTGTCAAATTACTTTTCAAAAAGGACTAACCAGTTTACAGTCCCACCAGTGGTTTATGAAAATACCTATTTTCCTGTACGCTTAGTATTTGATATCCTCTGAAAGTTTTAAATTATAAAATGTATGTAGTAACATCATAAAAAGTAGTAAGATTGGGAAAAATCACTAGAATGCTATTTCCTTGACATGGCAGTGATTATATTTGTTATAGTATTCCCGGCTTTTGACACATGTGTAAGTGGTTGTATTTACATATACAGTTTTGTTTTCTACTTTTTTTCATTCATTAGTAAGTGATTTTCCCTGCCTTTACTTGGCTTTCACAATTCTAGTATTTATTGGCCACACAATAGTACAATAAATATTCATATTTACCTAACTCTTCCCCTATTCCTGAACAACTAATTTGCTGCCAATTTTTATTATGTATAATAGCACAATAAAAACACAGGGGTATCTATCATTTATTGAATATTTACTATGAAACAAACTTTATACTATGTACTTTTTTCTTCCTTTGTATTATTTCCTTAGGATTTGTGTCCAGGATTCGTAATAATGGATCATGAACATTTTTATGGCACAGCCTTTCTTCTTATGTCAGTGTTTTCTTTCTTATTTCTTTCTGCCTTAAAACATTATTCGAAGCCTAAAATGTGCCAGACACTGTGGTAAGTGGTAAGAGGAACTGAGAATACAAAGATAGCAGAGTCCTTGGAGTCAGACATTAAACATATATGATAAAGAGGGACATGATAAAAGGCATTGCTGGATGACGGTCCATCGATATATTATTTGGTTGGTCATTTTGTCCATCCATTCGTCCATCCATCTATCCATTTATGCACACATGATTTTCCCTGTGAAGCATGGGAGAACTAGTTGCAGATATAATGCCCTTTTACTCCTAAATATTTCAGTATAAGAATAAGGACATTTTTTAAACCACAATACAATGACAAAATTCAAGGAATTTAATATAAATATATTATTATTACTTAAACCATTGTCCACATTAAAATTTCACCAATTGTCCAATTAATGTCCATGTAGGCAATTTTGCTCCCTTGATTTAAAATCTAATTGAAGATCATGCATTGCCTTTAGTTGTGTTGTCTCTCTTGTCTCCTTTAATCTAGAACAGTTCCTCAGCTTTTCTTTGTCTTTTATAACATTGATATTGTTTTGAAGACTAAAGATTGGTTATTTTGTAGAATGTCCTTCAATTTGAGTTTGTTTGAAATTTCCTCTTGTTCAGATTGAGATGATGCATTTTTGTCAGGAATACTATATAAGCAATGTGTTCTTTGCACATCATATCATATTAGGAGGTATGTGATGTTAGTTTGTCCCACTATTGCTGAGGTTAAATCTGATTCCTTATTTAAGATGGGGCCTGCTATATACTGTATAGTTTTCTAGTATAAAGTGACGCTTGCTATATGCTGTATGGTTTTCTAGTATAAAGTGACCCTTTTTGTTGCTTTTATAATTAATCAGTAATCTGTGGGGAGATATTCTGAATCTATGTAACTTTTACCCACCTGTTTTATCATCCATTGATGATTTTATGATTTCATCATTCCTTGTGTTTATTAGTTGCCTTGTGCTACAAAGACTTTGTATCAGTATGAACTCGTGTATTTTTATTTTATTGAATGGGTTATATTCTGGTTACTATCATTATTTATTTTGATGTCCAAATCGTCCCATATTTGGACAGTGGGAACCCCTTCAAGCTGACTCCTATATATTTTTGATATGTTCCCATCATTCTTTGAGCAGTTCTTTATTTTTTGGCATAACAAGATGATCCAGCTTCATCTTGTACTTTCTTTGCCCCAATGTTGGAATCGGTCATTTCTCTAGGAAACCTTCATCCCTTATTGTTTAGAAAACAAGATATGAGATAAGGTATATGTTGTTTATTTTTAAAATATTTCTTAATGTTTATTTTTGAGAGAAAGAGAGAGTGATCAGGGGAGGGGCAGAGAGAGAAGGAAACAGAGGATCCAAAGCAGGCTCTGTGCTGACAGTAGAGAACCCAATGTAGGGCTTGAACTCACGAATCGTGAGATCATTACCTGAGCCGAAGTCTGACGCTTAACTGACTGAGCCATCCAGGCACATGTTTTTTAAAGAGTACCCAAAGCGATTTTGCTGGACTATCTGGAACCTACTGTGATAGAAGCTTCTTATATAAAGGAGTTCCATCCATAGAATGGACAGGACTGAGGAGGAGTTGAAATATAGACTAGGAAGATGAAGGAACATGAGTAGAGTCACAGCATATGGTAGAGCCCAACTCATTCAAAGGAGCTACAGTTCAGTGTGGCTTCAAGTAGAGGAGTCTAGAGAATGTGGCAGGGACCAGTTCACTGAGGACTTTGCCATCCAAAGGAACTTAACCTTATTTATAGGGAACCATCATAGAGGGTTTAAACTTGGTAGGGCAGACATCAGTTTTGGTAGATTTGCGTTTTAAGGTCACTGGGCTATCACCAGTGGCAGTACATAGGATGGATTAGATAAATGTTTAAAATTTTTTTTCCAACATGGTTGGCATTTTCCTTCTTAGAGGGCTTAAGCTTTTCTCCTAGAAGCCAGTATTGCAGCTGCTGATACTAACACCTCAAAGGGATAGTTGTCAGCAGTTTAGTGTAAAGAGAGTGAGAAAGAGCCAGAACATGCAATAAGTGAAAGTTTGATTCATTTATTCATCTATTTGTGAAATGGCAGCAACTCTCCCTTTTAGTACTGGTTTTCCCATCAGGCCTGGAAGCTGAGTGTTGATGTTCTCCATTGAAAAATAACACAAACAAAGGTATATAAAAGAATGCTATCTTTTTTAATGGAAAATCTTAATGAATATGAATACTGCTACATTTTATTTTTCTTTGTCTTTGGTAATAACATCAAACATTCCATAATGTGGACATTCTATCTAGTTTGTGAGTTAACTAAAATATGAAATGTAAAAACCATGTTTTTTGAAATAATAGCAGATTGCATTTTTAGCTTGAAGCCTGCTGTTATAACAAGTTTTATTTCTGTACTATTTACAGCCTATATCCCAGGCAGTTGGAGTTGAACAACAAGCAACTCTTCTAAAACCAGATTTAGTTAGAAGGTGAGTATCTTCAAATTAATACCATGAAAACAATGAGTATTTTGAAGTATTTGCACTCAATAGGTGTGTAGAGTATCTTGATTCAAGAAGCTTCTGTGTTCTTATATTTGTATGTTCAATAAAAATAGTAGGTATTATTTTTACTTTTTTATGTTAATGATCATATGGATTGTTAATTTAGTGACTGTGTTTTCTTGTTCTCATTATTATAATATTCTGTTCTTAAGAAAAGCTTATAAGGGTTAAAAAAAAAGAAAAATGGAATAGTATAATATAGAGTAAAATTCCAGCTAATCTAAAGAAATAAATTACAACCAGGTATATAATTGTGTTATTATTTGGTAGTTGTAAATTAATATTTTCTCTATATTGTTCAGATTAGATAATTTTTATTGATCTCGCTTCAGGTTCACTGATTTTTTTCCTTTGTCCTATTCATTCTGCTATTGTGCTAATTCAATGAGGTTTTTATTTCTATGATTGTACTTTTGTTCCAGTTTTATGGAGAAATAGTGGGCATACCTGACTGTATAAGTTTAAGGGATACACCATGCTGGTTTAATTTACATTTACGTTATGAAATGGTTACCGTAGTAGGTTCAAATAACATCCATCTCATATAAATACAATAAAAAGAAAAAAAGAAAGAAGGGAAAAAATTTTCTCATTGTGGTGAGAACTCACAGGATTTCCTTTCTTAACCGCTTTTCTATATATCACACAACAGTGTTAACGATAGTCATCATGTTGTACATTACACCCCCAGTACTTATTTATTTTATAACTGGACATTTGTACCTTTTGACTACCAACTTCCAATTTCCCCTCCCCTCACCCTCTGCCTCTGGAAACCTCTGATCTCTTTTTCTGTGAATTTATGTGGATTTTTTTTGTTGTAGTTTGGTTTTTGGTTATTTTTAGATTCCACTTATGAGATTATATAGCATTTATCTCTCTCTCTGACTTATTTCACTTAGCTTAATGCCTTCAGAGTCCATTGATGTTGTTGCAAAAGGATTTCCCCTTTTTATGGCTGAATAATATTCTTGTGTGTGTGTGTGTGGGGGGGGTGTGTGTGTGTACACCACAATTTCTTTATATATTCATCCATCTGGACAGTTAGGTTGTTTCCATGTTCTGTGTCTTGGCTATTGTAAATAATGCTATGAACACAGGGGTGCAGATTATCTTTTGGAGTTAGTGTTTTTGTTTTGGGGGGATATATTCCCCAAAGTCAAATTGCTGAATCATATACTAGTTCCATTTTTTAAAATTTTTTGATGATCTTCCATACTGTTTTTCATAGTGGCTGTACCAGTTTACAACCCCACTAACTGCACAACAGTTCTCTTTTCTCCACATCCTTGCCAGCATTTTTTATCTTGTCTTTTTGATGATGGCTGTTCTAACAGGTGTAGGCAATATTTCTAGAGCTCACTTTGCCCACACCCAGGCAAGTAGCTGAATCACAGCACCACCCATTGTGGAAAGTGTTTTCCAGCCCCATTGGAACAGAAGGTCTAGCAACAACTTCTGGAAGCTGTGGGGCCCTGTGGCACTTGAGCCAAGAGGCGAGTGGGAAAAGTTGATTGCCCCCAGAATAAAGCCAGTACTGAGTGTAAAACATTCCTGTGCTATGCATGGGAAAGGGGATTGATTCATAGCCAAGGCTGAGGGTAGTTCCCAGTCCCTCCCAACCAGAGAATCTGTTTGGGAAGTTGATAGTAGCCTGGAGGGGCCTCTCTTCCTCCCACCCAGGCAAGGGAACTAAAACATAGCCCCACCATCTGTGGAAAGTCTTCTGACCCCATCTGACCAGAAGGGTGGCAACAACTACTAGGAACTATATGGTCCAGCAGCAGTTGAGCCAAGAGGCAGGCAAATAGAGCCAATAGTTTGCAGAACACGGCCAAGAGCTCTGTTTGTTCAGGGAACTTGGGGTGTGGGTAGGCTTGTGAGTTAGAACAAAGAGTTTTATCAACTTTAGAGCTGCTTCTTCCCCTGTGTCCAGGCAGAGAATCTGATCTGTACCCCTACTCATTGTTGAATGAAGTCTTCAGCCTGTCCCACCAGAGAACCTAACTAGAGCACATCAGTAGCTGCATAGGCCATTCAACAGCCCTATGGCATTTGAACAGGGAACATAGCCTCTGGCTTCCCCTCTCTGCAGAGCAAAATTGGTGGCCTTGCCTGACCAGGGAATTCAGTGCACACTCTGGCTGGATTTGAGTCCCTAAACAATGAGCTACACAGACCACAGTTCCCATCCTGCTGCCTTGCCAGGTCAGGCGTGCTAATTCAGATCTGCAGTCCTGACCATCTAGTAAACCTGACCATAGAATCCAGGAAACTATGGAGCCCATCCTGCAACCTCACTTGGATAGGGAACCAAGCCAAAAGTCTGATCCAACTGTTTTCAGCCATTGGCATACCTCCCTTCCCTGTCCTCAGAACTCAAACAGTTGCCTTCCCCAAAATGGACCATAATAGCAGGCCCCCTGCACAAAGACATTACTAGCAGACATATCCAAACAGAGCTGACTGGTGAAGAACTGCCTCTGCCAAAGGAAACCTGTGAACTCTGGAAGAGGAGCCCAATTACTCAATTGTGCAGATACCAATGTAAGGAATTAAGGATTACAAAAATCAGGTAAATATGAAACAACTAAGGAAAACTAATAAACCTTCAATAACTGACACTAAGTAAATGGAGATCATTTAAAAAAATTTTTTTTAACGTTTATTCATTTTTGAGAGACAGAGAGAACAGAGCTTAAATGAGGGAGGGGCAGAGACAGAGGGAGACAGAATCCAAAGCAGGTTCCAGGCTCTGAGCTGTCAGCACAGAGCCTGACACGGGGCTTGAACTCACTGACCGTGAGATT